TGCTGGTTTCTGTGTAAATGCAATACTTTTGTTTGCAATACGTTTGCGTGGCAGTGGCCGGAGAGTAAATTGTTCGTTGATAGAAAACCGTCGATAGTGTGCAGAGCATTGATATAAAAGGAGAGCCGAGAGAGTTTTGTCGAGTTGCGGGAAGCAAATGCAGATAAGTAGAAAATAGAAAAGTAGCAGTTATGAAATGAGAAAAGGGCAAAGGAATAGACAGATGTTCAATTTTAAAATTTTTGTGGTTAAATATTGCAAATTTTAAATTGTCATTAATCTTCAAGTTGATACAATAGAAATTAAAGTAAAGAGTAAAATTGATTTGAAATTGTCCAGGTAACAGGCCAACCTAATATACCGGCGTGTATTTTTCTACGCACGCACGCAAGGTTTTCACATTTGAGTAACCGAAAAAAATGTGCGTGCGGGAGTATTCAGAGTTGCATCTCTGTCAAACTTCAGAAGTTGAGCAAAATTTGAGCATAAATGCAGAATTGCTTCGATTCTCAAATCTGAAAAAAGAACATATGGGGATCGATATATATATTTCTTTTCTTGCGGAAACAACAATTACAAAAGTTATTAAGGGTCAAAGTTCAAATTAAACAATTTTTTAAATCAAAATTTCTTAAAAACGAACGTATGGATTTTAAAAGATCTCAATCGATAGAAAATTTAGTTCCCTTTAATTTGATATACATACATGCTGGTTTCTGTGTAAATGCAATACTTTTGTTTGCAATACGTTTGCGTGGCAGTGGCCGGAGAGTAAATTGTTCGTTGATAGAAAACCGTCGATAGTGTGCAGAGCATTGATATAAAAGGAGAGCCGAGAGAGTTTTGTCGAGTTGCGGGAAGCAAATGCAGATAAGTAGAAAATAGAAAAGTAGCAGTTATGAAATGAGAAAAGGGCAAAGGAATAGACAGATGTTCAATTTTAAAATTTTTGTGGTTAAATATTGCAAATTTTAAATTGTCATTAATCTTCAAGTTGATACAATAGAAATTAAAGTAAAGAGTAAAATTGATTTGAAATTGTCCAGGTAACAGGCCAACCTAATATACCGGCGTGTATTTTTCTACGCACGCACGCAAGGTTTTCACATTTGAGTAACCGAAAAAAATGTGCGTGCGGGAGTATTCAGAGTTGCATCTCTGTCAAACTTCAGAAGTTGAGCAAAATTTGAGCATAAATGCAGAATTGCTTCGATTCTCAAATCTGAAAAAAGAACATATGGGGATCGATATATATATTTCTTTTCTTGCGGAAACAACAATTACAAAAGTTATTAAGGGTCAAAGTTCAAATTAAACAATTTTTTAAATCAAAATTTCTTAAAAACGAACGTATGGATTTTAAAAGATCTCAATCGATAGAAAATTTAGTTCCCTTTAATTTGATATACATACTCTATGCCTTGTTAAGTTTTCACAAAAATCGAATTAATGTCACGCAACACAAATCTTGGAATTTGAGTTAGCTTTTTACGCACATCGGTCAATTTCGGTTGGTCCCATACAAGTTGTATGTGCATGAGAAATTTCTGACAGTAAACTGCCGGCGTGCGTGAATATTAGCTTGGACTGTAAAGGAAATTACTGGTTCATATGTGCTTAAATTAGCTTAAAGTAAACGCAGGAAAAAAGTTTGTTCATTGAAGTCGTTAAGAAGAAAGGTTAAATAATTCGATACGAAACATCCAAGCAATTGGAGATTAAAGTAACATTTGGTACCATTGTTAGTTTTAAGAGAAAACAAAAGCAAACCAATTTTTGAAGGATTTTAAGTGTACAATTTTTGAAAACGTACCTACTCACTTAGCTTTGGATTTTATAACACTGTTATTAATATTTGTTTTTCTGTAATCGCTAAGAACGACTAGAGACCATGGAGCGACGCGAAATTTTAGATTTTAATATGCGGAATTTGACACAAAAACTAACTGAATTAGGGTTAGTGACTACAGGACGTTAGTCGATATTGCAAGACAGACTGCTCGAGCATATAGCCTGACTGCTGACGGTGATGAAGATGATGATGTTGCTTCAAGTGTGATCCATAATCCGACACATGAGCGAGCTACGTTCACCCTGCGCGATATAGTAGATTCGTTGTCAATGTTTAATGGCTCCGGCTCACCGTCGATAGAGGACTGGTTAGAAGAGTTTAAAGAAAATGCTATCGCAGTTCACTGGAATAGTTTACAGAAATGTATTTA